GCCACTCAGGGCAGGAGGAGGTAGAGGAGTCAGGATTGTATTTATCTCAACCCAGAAGCTTTCTTCATCATACTTTCTCCCCCTGTCCTGTTGAGCAGAGAGAGCAAGAGAGTACAGCAGCTGTGTAGGGGTCTGGCAGCTGGCCACAGTCAACCCACCACAGTGTGTACCAACAGTAAAGATCATGGGGTGAGACAAACATAAGACATCCACTAGAGACAGATGCTACTTTAACCAACTCACACTGATGTTCAAAAAACTGAGCCAGTGTATTATAAATCCCAGGAATTACAGGTTTTCAGAGTGTCCCAGTTTTAAACTTTGTCCTTTAAAAAAGTACATCTAAGCCACATGTGGCCATAAATAAAAAGCCACATCATTATTGCACACGTGTTTTCCTCAAGGCACTGTATCATCCTCTGAAGTCTGCTAATGTGAGACTTCAAGCAATTTTTTCAGCAACTGAAAAAATTAGCAGCCAGAAGGCTTCTCCCCCTGCCTGCCCCACAGTGCACATCACAACTACCTGCTGAGATTGGCTCCCTGACTGCCTTTAGGTGCCAGCCAGACTGCTAATATTGCAGATATCACCCACCAGGCTCGGGCTCCTTGTGAATTTTAACCAAACATTGAGAAACAGGCAAGGACAATTTCCTCCAGGGCACCAAGATTTGAAACTATGTCATAAATTCTAAAACGACCTTCAGCACAGCTTGAAAAAAACCTCCCTTACATCTGTGTAATTAAATTCAGAGGACAGCATTCTTTGTCATATGGCACGGCCATTTAATGGCTATAGACATGCAGCCATTGTATTGTGACTCGGTTAGGAAAAGTTACCTGTGACAGTAAAATATTTGTGCAGGTAAGGAAAATACTTGTGCAGGTAAGGAAAAGGTTGAAAGGATATTATTTTAATCAATAGGAGAATGCCTTAGGTTTTCATAATGATATTTGCTATTACTTTCTTTTTATTCCTCAGTCATCTATTAATTTTCTCAATGAACTCTTAGGTGGTGGCTTTCAGCCCTGCTTCTGCAAAAACCTGGAAGTATGTAACAGTGTATGTATGCAACAAGCACTGATGCAGGATTTTGCAACATTGGGACCTCAGGTCATAGCACAAATAACTTTTCCAGCATTCTCAGCCAGCTCTGTGGAAAGCAAATTGGAATAGATCTAATACTTTTACAAAAAGATTCCCTATTCTCCTTATATAGGAAACATTACTGTTAATGGAGCAGTTGTGCTCTGTTGGGATTGCATGGAAGCAGGACTGGACAGCAGTTTATCATTAACATCCATAGTATGTATAGTTACTCCAGAGCATCTCTAAGAATTTGAGAGAAAAATTAAAAACCTTGTCACACAAGGCTGTGACTTGGGAATCATAGAGCAAAACATGACCATGCACCTTTCACTACCTCACATTAACACTTACCCAATAACTTGATGCTCAAAATACTGCAGTGTCCTTTGAAGAGTTTGCCGAATGGTCTGAGGCTACAGAAGAAGAATAAAAATAATTGTAAGATTAGGGAAGTATAGTACTGTTTAATTAACAGATCTTTTAACACACTATTTTTCTCCAGCTTTACTCCTCCTCATCTTCTACCTGCCAGATGCCCATCACAACGATGGATATGAAATATTATTCATTCCCTGTATGTTACTTTACCATTTAAATAGGGATGAATTTTACAATATGACATAATTAATACTGCTTATAAAACTAGTTGTGCATAACAAAGGAGCCACTTCACTATTAGCTCTCAAAAACTATCACCCACCAATTATCTTATTAATTTAAAATAGACTGCAAGAAAATGCTATTATTTTGTGATGAAAGTATCACCAGGAAAAGGCATTGTGTTTTTAAACTTTGTATGTTCCCTGGAGCATTTTGTACTAAAGAATATTATAAAGACACAATTTATTTCGGCTTACTTTCCTGACAAGCTGTGACTTTCCAGTTATCTTTTAAATTACCAGGAAACTCAAGTTCATCAAAAGAAAAACATGACATGCTTCAAGCATTTCTATGCTACTTCATTTTAATAGGTGTTCACCAAACTACATATGTGCATATATGTGTTTATTTGCATTATTACTACTACTACAGTGTTCACCAAAATACATATGTATATATGTTTATTTTCCTTATTATTACTGCTGCTGAGGCTACTCTCATTATTTTGAATTAATTCATGAGAGATCTTTGGGTAAATAAAGCAATGTGAAATCCATGTCATTCTCTTTCGAATTTTCCAAGTCACTTATGGCAAAACATCACTCTTCCAAAATGACTTTGTACCAAATATGAGGTTTTTCACCTGTCCATTTTGTCCTGGTGCCAGAGGTCAGATAAATTCAGATAATTGTAAAAATTTCTTGTTTAATACCAAACACAATTGGGATTTATAACCCTTCCTTCTGTATCAGAAGCACACGGGGTTATTTTCATTAGACTTGCAGCAGCAGACACTCAAATTTTAGAGATATTTGGTTATTTCCCTACCATTTGGAAAAGACATCTAATTGTTTTGGAAAGTACTAGTTGAAATAATACCCCTTAATTAGAGGAATTTCATTCTAAAACTGCCATCATCTTTGAAAGTCTCAGATTTTGCTTACTGCTGTACGGATTCAGCAGTTCAAGAGCTGAGCTTTCTACCTACTCTCACTCCTGAGTTTGCAGAAGGAGGTATCTGTTTTGATGACAGCAGGAATGAAAAAGCATATACCAGGCTGCACTAGGTTTGTACAATTGTAAAAATTTCTTGTTTAATACCAAACTGTAAGAACATGTCTACCCTTTTGAATTCAAATGTATGCACTTAGCAAGTGCATAAAAGGGCTTATAAGAAAGATGGGGACAAACTTTTTAGCAGGGTCTGTTGTGATAGGACAAGGGATAATGGTTTTAAACTAAAAGAGGGTAGATTCAGACTAGATATAAGGAAGACATTTTTTACGATGAGGGTGGTGAAACACTGGAACAGGTTGCCCAGAGAGGTGGTAGATGCCCCATCCCTGGAAACATTCAAGGCCAGGTTGGACGAGGCTCTGAGCAACCTGATCTAGTTGAAGATGTCCCTGCTTATTGCAGGGGGGTTGGACTAGATGACCTTTAAAGGTCCCCTCCAACCCAAACTATTCTATCATTCTATGAACAAAAATAAGCTCAAAATAGATGTAAACCTTGCAAGAGGGTTCTTTTGTTAATTCTGTATCAGATGATTACTTCTCTGCTCTGTGGGAGCTAAGTTTCCTGTGCTAAAGGCATTAAAAGTTATATGTTCTCTTGCAAAAAACAACGGAAGCACCATATGAATGAAACCATCACATATCAAAAAACTACCCCCTTCTCAGTGGTAGAGCAGGTGTTGAAGTCCTTAGGCCTGATGGGCTACAAATATATTTCATGGCATGTTCTCACAGAGATTCAAAGATTTCCTGTGCTCAACAGGCAGAAAAATCCATTCTTCATGTATAGAAAAGATGTATTTTCCCACACTAGCAACAAAACAAAGGAAAATGGCTTTAAGCAAAGAGGTCCAGACAGCTGCCATCTCCCATCTCCATACAGCATTTCCCTCAGCCCCACTCCCTACGCACAGAACATTAGTACTCCACCAGCAACTCCTCTGATATAAAATAGAGAACGGTAGAAACGTTTGACTGTTAAATTAAATCTTCCTTCTGGTTCTCCCAAAGTGCTTTTACAGCAAGCGTATGGAAGGCAGCAATGTCTGATACCACAGCAGAGAGGAAGGAAAATAGCTTTTTGTCTTCTCAGGAAGTTTTGCAGCTTATGACAGCTGAGCAATCCTCCACGGAATGTCTTTGCCTTTCTCATGCCTGACACACAGATGTTACACTCCTTACCCAGGGAAAAATCTTTTTGAATACCTCAAGATTTGACCATACAAGCAACCTCCAAGTCCTGAGCTTATTTCATCAGTAGACCTCCCTTCTCCTGCAGTGCCGAATGAAAAAAAAATAGCCCATGTTAACTCTCTCTTCTGCCTAACTGTTGTCAGACAATTTTTTACAGTCCCATGAACTCACATGCCTTTTCACTGGCATCTCCTATGAAAGCTTAGAAATTAAGGACAGATAAAAAATAGGATTTATGATTAAAACGCTGGTCATAAAAAGAGCTCTATGTAATGTGCTCACAGCCAGTATGAAAACTGACCTGAGGAGTCACAAAGTCTTTCTTCATTTCTGAGAAGAATCATTACAGCATGTCACTGTGCATGGTTAAAAAGCCACTGTGCTCACCTTCTCAATTTGCTGTATTTCATCACTAGTGAGTGTCATTTTGCTATAGATGCAATTCTGTAACTATGCCCATGACTAAACAAAACAGAAGAGATATGACATCTGCTTACATCTGCTTACTACTACAAGGGTAGTTTGGTGTACTACTTCTTCCACTACTGACTACACATTGCCCACGAGAGAGAGAGTGGGCAAGAAAACATTTCCACCTCTTTTTTGCATCTGATGGCAAGACTGGATGGAGGCAAAATAGCTAAACGTTCTCCTAGTAGCATAACACACATCACCCCTCCAAGAAGCATAGTTCTGCCATTCAGGGACAGACTGTAACAATACACCTCCTCCACCGCAATATAAGTCTGTGCCATGCAGGTACCCAGTGGCGCTTATCTACTGGAGAGGTTTTAAAGTTTCATGACCACTTAAAATGAAAGATTTAATATAAATGTAAAATAGCAACTATTACCTAAACCAGTAAATGTTAGCAATTCATTTTGATTATAATGATTTACTAATATTTGGTATGCATTACAAAAGGAATAGTCACATCAGTTCATGTTTCTAAGGGCAAATCAAATTAAGACATGCCAGTATTGCTACTGTTAACTGTAAATTAATCCAAGAATTGCCATACCAGATCATATCCAAGCTCTATCTGGAATGATGCTATATAATGTAGAAGGGAACACTGAAGATATTCAGACTGATCTTTTGCACGGCAGAGGCTACAGGACTTCCCTGAATTAATTCTGAATCCAGACATCAGGCCATGGCTAACCCTAATATGTCAGAATAAACTGTAAAAAAATCACCAAATCAATGACTCATACAGGTTTGAAGGAACCTCTGGAGGTCTTCTAGTCTAACCTCCTGCTCAAAGTAATTTGAGTTACAACTGGTTGTTCAGGTCCTTCTCCAGACAAGGTTTGAGTGTCTGCAAGGATGGCAATCCCACAACCTCTCTGGGCAACCTGTGCCAGTGTTTTAACACCCTCGTCACAATTATTTTTTTTCCTTAATACTGATTTGAATCTTCCCATCTGTGAGCTTTGTTGTTTGTCCCATCCTTCCACTGTGCACTCCTGTGAAAAGTCTGGCTCCATCTTGTCTACAAACCCTGATCAGGTAGCTGTAGACTGCAACAAGATACCCCTAAAGCTGTCTCTTCTTAAAAGCTGAAGAGATGCAGCTCCCCCAGCCTCTCTTCAGATGTCACGTGCTCCATCCCCTGACCATTCTGGTAGTCCTCTGCTGGCCCCAGTATCAACCCCTGAGGAATATGCAGAAGTTAACTGGTTGCTAATTCAACTTTGTGACTCTGATGGCCACCTTTTTGAGCCCTAAGGTCCAGTCAATATTCCACCCACCTTATAATCCACTCTAATGACACTATGGGAGACCATGCCAAAGACTTTCCGAAAGTCAAAATAGGCAACATCACTTCATCCATTGAGCTAGTCATCTCATTACAGCAGTCAATCAGGTTGGTCAGGCACAATTCATCCTTGGTAAAGGGCATAAAAGTGTGTAAAGGGTGTTAAAGGGAATAAAGGGGTAAAATTTGGCCTGGCTGTTCCCAATCGCCGTCTTGTCCTTTTCTGTGCTAAGAAAAGGCTTCCAAAAGGACTTGCTCCATAACCTTCCCAGGTACTGAGTTCAGGCTGTTCAGGTCTGTAGTTCCCTGGATCCTCCTTGTCCTTCTTGATGCTGGGTGTGACATTTGCCTTTTTCTAGTCATCAAGTACCTCCCAATTGCTATGACTGGGAGGCTTTCCTATCTCCATCCCTGTGTGCTCAGGTAATGCCTCAATATCCCTCCAGAGCATCCCATCCCCACTTCCAACTTCCGTAGACATGTTTTTTTGCATTTGAGCAAATGAACTCTTCTTATGCTTTGAGGAGGGTGTCAAAGGGTCCATGAAGATCAATCAACTTCTTGTGCCCTTTTACCCTACAGGCTAGTTGCCCATTGGATCCTGCCAAGAAGATCCATGAAGAAGCCAAAATCTGTTCTCCTGAAGTACGAGGTTGTGATTCCACTTGTCTTTCCCACTTCTCTCAGTGTTTTGAACTCCAGCATCTCATAATCACTGTAGCCAGGGCTGCCCTCTACCTTTATACCTTCAACCAGTTCTTCCTTGTTTGTGAGCAATAGCTCCAGCAGAGTATTACCCCCTTCTCAACTCATTGATCACCTACATTAAGAAATTGTCTTCAGCACACTCCAAAAATCTCCTGCACTGCTTGTGCTCAGACCTATTGCCCTTCTGCTGGATTTTGGGTTGGCTGAAGTCCCCCATGAGTACCAATGCCTGCCATTTTGAGGTTTCATCCAGCTGTCTAAAGTCTTCCTCTGCTTTCACTTCTTGACCAGCCAGTGTGTAGCAGACATACCACCACATCACCCCTGCTCATCTGTCCTCTGCTCCTGACCCTCACCCTCTGGGCCAGCTTGCTCTGTCCACAGGGAACTTCCCATGCACTGCTGCCACCTTTTTGCATAGAGCACAGCTCCTGCTCCTCACCTTCCCAGCCCATCCTTCCTGAAGAGCCTGTGTGCATCTCCTGCAGCACTCCTGTCCTGAGAGCCATTCCACACAAGGATGTGTGCAATTCCACAGGAGGTCCAAGCTCAGTGGCAGCATGGGGATGTCTAATGCCACCTGTTTGCTCCCCATGCTGCCTGCATTTGGGCACAGGCACTTGAGATGTGCTCCTAGTCATGCTGCTTTCATGAGGTGAGCATAAGAGCCTCTTCCACCCTGTTGATCCCCTGATACTTCTTCACTGCTCCCCCTTCTCTTCAGAGAATAAAACCCCTTCCCCAACAAGCATACATTAAAGCCCTCCTCACAAGGTTCTGAAGCCTGTTGGCAAAGATACCCTCACCTCACTTTGTCAGATGAATGCCATTCTTTCCTCAGCTGTCCTGACTCTCTGATAGCCCCATGCCCATGGAGACCAAAGCCTTGCCAGCAACACCAGCCACACAGTCAGAGACTGCCTTACTAGATTTTTCTACTACAACCAGAGCCTTTCCCCCTCACCAGCAGGATCGAGAAGACACCAGCTGGGCACCTACACCCTTTTCCCTTGCACTCAAAGCCATGTAGTCACTCCTGATATATTCAAGGTCTCCCCTGGCTGTATCACTGGTGCCCACATGGATGAGCAGCAGTGTTCATAGTCCAAGAGGTAAACAAGCTTTGGTAGCCTCTTTGCAACACTATGTCCAAGCTCTTTGCAAGCAGCAAACCTCCTGAGGCAGCAAGGCAGACTGGCAGATGAGTGCCTCTGTCTCCTCAGGAGATAGTTTCTGATACCTACCACCGGCCTTTTCTTGAAGGCTCTAAGGGTTGTGGCTCAGCTGGCTCTGATGCCTTATCCCAAGGAAGGTCATCTTTCCCACGTCTTCCCAGGGCACTGTGCCTGCTCTGTAACTCCTGAACCACAGGTGGAAAAGGAGCCTTAGTTGGGTTGTCAGAAGTAACAAACCTCCAGCCTCCTCCATCTCAGGAGTTTCTACCCTTGACCCTCAAGGGTTATTGCTATTTTTCCCTCCTTCCTTTCAACACGGGGCTCAGGTTCTTGGCTCTGCAGGGCCTCTGGAAAGACCTGTCCATCCTCCCTGATGCATACAGCCTGCTCACTATCTACTACAGCTCTTCCATCTGGCACCTCAGTGCTATAACCAGAGCACACTGCTGTTGCACACCAGCAGGCAGCAATCCTGACCATGGCAGCCCTGCCATGACAGCCACTGTAACTCCACCAGCTGCCACTGTTTGCAGGATGCACTCGTAGAGAAATCTGCCATTCTTCCTAGAAATCACCCTGCTCTGCAGTAGTGTGAAACTGGTTCAAGACGTGAAGCTAGAGGAGTAATAGCTCTTCAAAAGCACTTTTATGACTAACTGGAGAAAATATTTATGAA